TTGATCACATGCCTGAGACATATTTATTGGAATATTATCCTTTCAACGGATGTCGGTGAAATGACCGGTCCGATTCTCATTGCCGGGTCCTTCCTGTTTTTTGGCCTAGGAATGAAGTTTTATTTTGATGCATATCGTCTCGGATCTGAGGAACGGAAACGGATCAAGGTGAGTTAGTTCGGCTCAATAGAGAAATTGTATTAAAATAATAGCTTATTCCAGAACTGGATGAGTGATTTCATGGGCACTTTTCCGCGGCTGAAGGCGTCATTCGCAGATAGATCGTATAGACTTGACAATCAATCCAATCCCATCTTCGTGCTGTGTCTAAAATTAACACATCACACCATCTTGATATGCAGTGGGATATATAGATTATAACCGAGCAACCGCGCCTTCTACAACTCGTTCTTACCGTTCACAACATTCCAACGCGCTTCAACCAGTCAAACCCACTCTCAAGATACCGGTCACAGTTTATAAAATGTACTGTAGAAGGAGAAGTCTTAACCCTACACTTACCTTCCATCAATGAGATATGCACAGCTGCTCTAAAAGACACGCTTAGATAGTATAACACTATCTTCCAATGTAGCGTTTGTAAAATCCTGAATCTGCAAAGGATAAGTATGGATTTATATGACACTGTAGTGAAGATCGTTTGTGCTCTCTAAGGTAAATTGTTCCCCCGAAAGTCGCTGTCATTCACCACTAAAAAGTTATGACATCAATATACCATCATTTTATCCCTGTCAGGAATCATTGGAATTGTATGCCTTCTCTCTGTATTCACGGGGTCCAACTCATGCACGAGAGAATGCCTATTCGAGTTGATAACCCCCTGGACTGGCCCTAAGTAGCTAACTCCACATCAACAGCTGTTTTTTATTCACATGAACGATGCGGCGACTCGCAGCTAATGACATCTACTGCATACACTGACAGTGAAGAATGAATTCTATATGGTGCAATGTTGTTAAGGGATATCGGGCGTTAGATAATAAGACCAGTGCGCTTGTTCAAATCCCGGAGGATATGCATTGATATTGAAAACCGAAGGCTTTTCACTGGAGATTGAAAAGTTAAATGTGCGGTAAAAATGCACCCTCGAAAATTCCCGAATCACCCACAAAGAACGAACATTCCAGCAAACAAACACTGTTATCGGGTCTTATACTTGAACATAGACACTGGAAGCGCAAATCAGTTTTGTACAGAAGATCACTCGTAGGCCCGACTGCAACGAAAGATATCGTCTGTACACAGCAGGCCCTCCAACTGTTCCCCAAAAGATCACCTTATAATAGTGACTTGAACTTGAACTCACAATCGCTGACAAATCTTGTTGTTCAAATTGTTGTTTGGTAGAGTTGTGACGGGAAGACAGTCCTAAATGAAAAAGTAAAGCTAGAAGATATAAGAATGGGGTTTCCGTGAATCGATCGCATCACGACTCAGTTCACAAAAGATGAAAGTTATCATACTTGGGCAAAAAGAAACCAAAAGTAAAATCACTTAAAAAGCAAGCAACGTGCAGTGGGTATGTCGGTAGAGGATGAGATCCATATAATAGTGTCAGAAAGCGACAAAACAAATGGGAGATGGCTAACGGGTTTTAAAGAGGAATAAAATATGATCTATACATCTACTGCCATAATTTGCACTCCACTCGTGAAATGAATATCTATACCTATTTCAATTTAAGATGTCATGTTGCTATGGCGGATAGTAGGAGGCGCGATTGCTCCGTCGTTTCACATTGTCTCGCACTTTTTGTGGTGCTCTTGTTGTCACGTATGATGAAGGCACATCTGCTGTACAGTCGAAGTTCATTGGGCCTGTTGAGGACTCGCGGCTGTAAACAAGGTGTGGTTTCTCGCTCGGGTTAGCTGGGCACGCACCAGGTCCCTTGTTGCGCCTGAACTATCCGACCGATCGATAAATGAACCCGATCGGTCGTATGATCTTCGCGCCGGCGTAGACGGCGGATAAGCACTGTATTCGATGCTGCTTAAGTGTTGGTAGAGAATCGGCACAGGAGAATCTGTTGTGGAACGATGCGCCATGTGGGAAATTCAGAATGGAAAATGTTTGAGCAATGACAACACGGGCCAACGTTTGACTCGTCTAAGATACACGTACTATTTTTCTAAGCCCGTTCGGTAAACTGATAACCATAATAATAAAACTTGTCTTATGTAATCTATGGAGGTCGACTATTTTCTCCTGTGGGCGACCGTATTTACCTAAAACTCTTGGCCTACAGACAGCATCGATAGTCCGGATGCTCCACCAGATTTGCTTCCAATGTTCCTGTAGTCCTTCGGCTGGTGATTGAACTGATAGGCGATCGGAGAGTTCTGCTTCGAAGGCAATCGCTGATGTTGTATGGTGGGCATCCCTTGTCGATGGATTTTTTGTGAGCATATACAAAGCGAATAGTTTATTCCCGAAAATGGAAAACGATCGACGAGCTAAATCAGAGTATCGTCAAGCAGGGCGAGCGTATTACAATTTCTATTCTGAAGGTGCAGGAAAACTATCTTCGCGTATTTTGCTATGAAGCAGCAGGATGGAAAACATTTTGAACAACTTTTATAAAATAAATGTGCATTTTTCCATAATATCTGTTCTTTCTTTTAGAGTTCTGTCTCGTCCGTTGTTAGCAAGATCGTTCAACGCGAAAAAGCCAGTCAGTAAAACTCCAAGAAGAGTTTTGCTTTGGCCTGTATTAGTGGATATCGTAGTCCGTACATGAGACAAGTTTTATTATTATGGTTATCAGTTTACCGAACGGGCTTAGAAAAATAGTACGTGTATCTTAGACGAGTCAAACGTTGGCCCGTGTTGTCATTGCTCAAACATTTTCCATTCTGAATTTCCCACATGGCGCATCGTTCCACAACAGATTCTCCTGTGCCGATTCTCTACCAACACTTAAGCAGCATCGAATACAGTGCTTATCCGCCGTCTACGCCGGCGCGAAGATCATACGACCGATCGGGTTCATTTATCGATCGGTCGGATAGTTCAGGCGCAACAAGGGACCTGGTGCGTGCCCAGCTAACCCGAGCGAGAAACCACACCTTGTTTACAGCCGCGAGTCCTCAACAGGCCCAATGAACTTCGACTGTACAGCAGATGTGCCTTCATCATACGTGACAACAAGAGCACCACAAAAAGTGCGAGACAATGTGAAACGACGGAGCAATCGCGCCTCCTACTATCCGCCATAGCAACATGACATCTTAAATTGAAATAGGTATAGATGCGCGTATCTGTAGGGCTCAAACTCGGAATTAGTCTAGTCCTCAAAGAGACGTGTTCGAATTCCCATTGGCGGTTCTACGGACAATCAGCAGTTAAAAATTGCAGCTGGCTTGGATCGCAAGGGCAATCACGCAGTCTCCTCAGCCTCCGCGCTCGTGCATCTGCATTCACGCTCGGATTGCAACATTCATCGGTGAGAGGACAATCCAATGGGCTTAGTAAACAGAGTTAGCAAATACTGGATGGGGGCGCGATGACCGCATAACAACAAATAGGCTGCCTCGGCGCCGAAGGGTGAAATGACTGGGATTAGCGCTCATAAGTGCACACCTACTGACGCCTCTGTACGAAACGACCTGTGAGGCCAGTGTTTACTCCTTTTTCAGGTCGATGAATCACCATCAGTCACGGGTTACCCGGGTAATCGTGTATATATGATCTGCCAAGAGGACTGAATTGAGTGATTAAGGTATAAGGTAAACCTTTGATACCGAGTGGATAGGTTTGCTCTCATTGGGGTGCGACAGTGTACTTAATCCA